GCGTGGCCCACTCTTGAGCTCCATCCTGCTGGGCCTTTGTCGGGCCCCTTTGTCCTGGAACCTGGGCTCCATGTTGTCCACCCTGGCTTGGAGCTTGCATTTCTTTAGGATGTTGCTTCCAGAGCCTTCCTGTAGGCTCTCTGGATGACACTCATGCACAAGAGGTGCTATGATCCATCCCCTGCCCAGACTTGATCTCCCCGCCCAGCCCTGCCTGGGCCTCCAGAGAGCAGGCCCTGGGGCTCAGAAACCCCGCCACAGCCTTCTTGTCTGCCTGCTCTCACCAGCTGGCTCACAGGTGGGTGCAGACACCAGGCCCACAGTACCATCCAGACACCTCCCACTACAACTCTGCAGTCCCAGATCTTCTGGCAGTACTAATGAAGCAGGTTCTGGAAGAGCCACATTCTCCTACTAAAGGTCAAAGCTTAAATGACATAAATCTGAGACCATGCGCCAAGTTCCAGACTAGCATCCTCAGTCTGCTTGCTCGGCTGCTTGAAAATCCAGGCAGGTATCCTACGCATCTGACTTGTGTGCAAACTGGCCTTGGACTGAACCCAGGGTCTTGTGGTTGCTAGGTAAATGCTCTACCAGTGAGCTGTATCTCCCAGCTCTTGTCCAGTCTCTTACAAGGCCCTCAGGATGCTTTAGATACATATGTAGATAGGTGGATGGATGGAGGATAGATTGACAGGTAGATGATAGAGATGATGGCTAGCTAAGTAGCTTGCTATGCCAATTAGAATTAGACACTGGAAACTGAAAAAACAAAAACCCGGATGATCGGCAATTAATGCACACAATGGCTGCAGGAAGATCTATCCCCCATGTTAGATGCCACGGAAGAACTGTGCAGCCAGCCAGCCTGCCTTCKGCCCAGAGGTCTAGTGATGGCAGGTGCCCTGCCTTTCCTAGAACCCCARGCACAGGGATCAGACAATCCTTCCCCACTACCACCTGCCTTTGTGCATGGCTTTATTAGCACACAGCCTCCCCCCGCCCYAAGTTTTTAGGTTGTCTAGGTCTGCTTTTTCAGTACACAGGTACAGTTGAATAGTTGCAAAAAGACCATATGATTTTGCAAAACTTAAAATATTAATGGTCTGGAGGGCGGCAACCAGTAACAGCAGAGGGCCATGTGCATGGAGCAAAGGGAGTGGGGGGAGTACTGGGTGGTGAGAACAGAGAGGTGACTAGGAGTAACCCCAGCCCTGAGGGCCACAGCAGTGTGGATTGTTTTCTGGGTGTGATGGGCAGCCGCAGATTCTGAGCAGAGGCTTAATATGATCCACCTCAACTTGTCCAAGGTGCCTCTCTGGCTTCAGTGCAGAATGAACTGCAGGAGTCAGGGTGGAGACAGGGAAGGTTAGAAGACCCCAGGGTGTGCCAGGCTACAGATGGGCCTGCAGGAGGGGAGCAGCTGGGTTCAATCAAAGCAATCAACTCCTCCCCCTGCACAGAAGCCCGGCTTTCAACAGCCAAAAACAACGAAAATTTCCTGAAAGTTTATGTCCTGTTCCTGCGCCATCAGAGGGAAGAGAACTGAAGACCCACAGGGTCCTCTGAGGACAGGCCACACACAGGCTCATGCACACTCAGTTCACATCCAGTGGGACCAAATTGGTCAGATGCTTGTGGATGCACAAGACACCCGATATTCTCTCCAAAGGGGTCCCATACAGTCAGATTCTGGGGATTCTTTGAAAGCCAGCTGGACAGGATGCTGTTCACATAGGGTGACTGTACTGAGGAGGAAATGGGCCAGCCTCGGAGCTTGGCCGCGTTAACCTCCCCTGCTTCAGTGCCCTCTTCCATACAGGGGKATTAGCTGTGGCTCCCCAGGACTGTACTGGGAAGGAGGGTGTGAATGTGGGTATAATGGCACAGATAGCAAGACACTGCCTGACAGTGGCGAGCAGCCAGCAGCTGGAGCCCCCTGCCCATGCCCTGCACCACAGCTATCCATAGCAGAGGCTGGCCCAGCAGGGGCCTGAGGAGCCTGTGCCTGTGTTAAGGCCAGGGTTGTGTCCACGTGGCATCTTGATTCTAACAGCGACCCCTGGTGGCGACCATAGCCCTAGTATCCACACCTCTCTGTCCCAGGCCTTCCTTTGCTCTCCTGAGAGCCCAATGCCCCATGCCCTGCCAGGCTCGGTCCTCTGGCCTGCATTGGGCTCCATTTCTCAGAGTCCCTGTTCCATTCCTGACCCCCTGCCTCTAGGGCAACTTTGCTCCCCAGCCTTCTGCCTACCGCAGGGAAAGAGGATTAGAGTGCCCGCTGGACACTGGGTTGAGCTGCTCCAGCATCACATCTGCTTTCCTTCTCACAACTAGTTCACAAGAGTGCGCACCACCACTCTGCACAGGCAGCTCAGGGGTGGAGCCCRGATTCCTGTGCAGACCTGCTGGGCTCCCGCTGCGGGTGGTTCTGCCCTGGGAGGGCACCGGGGTGAGTCTGGCCCTCAGCCTGCCTCCTCTGCCTCTGTGCTCACAGCCCGGGCATCCTGGATCCTGCCCCAGGCCTGGCCCTTGCAACCCTTCTCCAGCTGGCACCGGCCCTCTTTCCTGCCTCCCCCCCAGCACACAGCCACTCCCAGGTCTTCACCATGCCCAGAAAGCCCCAGTGAGGCCCTCCGACTCCCCGGTAGGATGAAGTCCTTCCACAGGCCCCCACAGCCCGCCTCTCACTGTGGGGTGAACTCTGGAGTGTCTGTCCCTGCTGCTGCTGATGGGGCACCTGGGGGATGTCCTGTTCACCTCCCTAACAAGCACCTGACCACATGACAGAACAAAATGCCCAGTGAAGGCTGCCTGCCCCATGGAGCCTACCCCATGAAACATTTAGAAACCCAGGACATTGGGGCCTGACAGAGAAAGGGGCTACAATGACCCACGCCTCCATGGGAAGGCAAGACTTGGGGAGTTGGTCAGCTAACAATAAAGCTGCCTTTCATTTTTCTATTGGATCATGTACTTTACAGGAATGGCTCCTTGCAATGAGGGCTCCTTGCAATGAGGGAGGATCAGGTGGGATTCTGACAATCTAGGTCCCTGTTGTAATGCCACTGAGCATCATCGGAACTTGCCCTTGACCCTGGAGTTGCTGTGGGGAGAACCCAGCACAGGCACTGGGGTGGTGGGCATGGCACTCAGTGCACTGTGGTCCCTCCCACCTCCCCTGGCTGATTCCTTGCCTTAGTTGACCATGCCAAGGCTCCAGAATGCTGGAGGGTCCTGGCCCTGTGGTCCATCATGGGGGTGGAAGGGGCACAGGTTGGATTCAGGCAGAGCTGGGTTTGAATTCCAGCACCTCCTTCTCCTAGCTGCGTGATCTTGAGCAATTTGACTAAACTCTGTGTCTCTCTTTCCTTGTGGTGAAATGGAGGTAACATGGTTGGTCTGAATTTTATCTCCTACCCGCTTGCTCCTCTGTCCCTCCTCCTGAATCTGCCATGGCTCCTCAGTACCCATAGACTATAATCCTGCTTCTCGGCTGAGAGCTGAGGTCTTCCCTTGATCCAACCTGCTTTCCCGCCTCTTCTTCCATCCCATCTTCCACTCCCCTAGGCACTTGCACATCACACCTCTACTGTCCCCAACATGCCACCAAAATGACACACCAGACAGTGTGCTTTAGCTCCCCACCCCTCCCTCTCATGTCAGAGGAAGCCCTACCTGTCCTTCAGGGCTCAGCGCAAATGCTGCCTCCTCCAGGTTGCCTGCCCCAATTCCCAGCATTGGGCATGTGATAGGTGCTCAATAAATATTTGCAAGAATCAATGAGAAYTGGTCCTCCCTCCTGTCCCCACCATCACTGTTGAAACACACAAGGCGCTATTCCAAGTTCAAATTTCCCATGTCTTCTCCACAAACTGTGCGTGCAAAGGCTCCCACACCCTGAATGGATGAAGAAGAGTCCAAATTCCTGGTCCTCTTTCAGAGACAAGTCAGGGCCAGTCAGAGCCCCTTCTCAGGATAATACTACAATGACAAAGCTAAACGTGGATTGCTCCAAGTACCTGGAGAAGCCGCCAGGCCCCTATTTTCAAGCACTTTTCAGCACACAGCCAATTTTCCAGATCAAACTTCACAGATCTCCAAACGTCAGACAGTGAACAGAACTTTTAAACAGAACCCAGGTCTGCTCCAGCACAAATGGAGCCTCCACAAAATCCCAGGGTTCCTTTGGAACCCACAGGCCCTGGCCCCCTGTATTTGGCATGCAGGGGTGCTGGCCCCCAAATAAGAAAAAGCATGAAGCTGTCTAGCCCTGTGCACCCCCCAAACACACCTGGGCTGCAGCCACCTGCAGCTACCTGTGTCTCCTAGCTGTTCCCAGACCTCAGGCCTGGCTGCCAGCCCCCACCTCCAAGGCTGGGCTCAGCCACCACCTGCATGGGATCCTCCCTTACACATCCATCGYGCCCAGAAGCCGAGCAGCACCCTAACAGCTCAGGTAAGGGAGCAAACCCACTGCACCCAGCACCCGTGAAGGAGGCCTGGGGCATCCGCACCTAGCACTGATTTCAGGCTAAAGCAAAAGCCACAGAGGGGTCTTGGGTACAGGAGTGATGATCTGAAGATAACAGAGAGCAAGTTGAGACAACGTGCAAGTTCCATGGCTTAAGGTCTCTCCTGCTCCTTCCCCAGCATTAGWGTCCTCAGGAATCTGTCCTGCATGGGGGTGGGGATGGGGGTGGGGGTTGGGTGGGGAGGGTCCCCCCAGCACTCTCCCAGGATACCCACACTTCAGCAACAAGGATCCGAACCCCAACACACACAGACACCATCACCATTGTCTGCTCCTATGTCTCCTATCTGCCCCCGGAGGGCGGTCRCTGGTCCCACTCTGTGTCCCCTGCCCCTTAATGTCCCGCACAAGGTCTGGATCAACCAGCCCATACAGGGTCGCAGATAGGAATGCCCGAAGCAGGGCTGCGTGAAGCATCCCGTGGCCCCAGTGCCCTCTGCCAGGCGGACTCCTCACGGATACTCACCGGGGTCGGGGCGTTCACCACRGACAGGTTGTACCCATAGAGGAAGGAGGAGCCCAAGGCACCCACCAGAGAGACGGCAACGAGGGAGCAGGACCAGTCCTGTGAAGGGAGAGGAGAGCACATCAGCGCRGGCCCTCGGGTGCAGAGCCTGGACGGTCCCCCTTAGCTGGGGGAGGCCTCCCTGATAGAATTCCTATCTGGGGCCAAAAAGGAGCTGGAAGGAGAAGATGGAAAGGTGGGGGTGGGGGGGCAGCAGACAGGGTTCCCTCCAGGTCCACAACACACCAYGGTCTTCCCAGCCAGACTGCCGGGGAGCACAGAAGCCCGCCTGCTGCCCTTAGCAAGCCATCTGCAAGCAGCCACACRCATCATTTTAGCTACAGGTAGCTAGGGTCTGACCCAGACAGGAGCAGAGAGCAAAGCTAGACTAAGCTGCTGGGCAGCGCCCGGTGCTCACTGATCCCCCTGCCAGGCACTGTTCTGAGAGCTTTCTGGGCRTCATCTGGAATCCCTCCACCAGTGCCGGTGCACCCTATTGCAGAAGTCAGGAAAGGGCACAGAGTTGTCTGAGGTGCTGCCTGGGGCGGGGCCAGGAACCTGGTGGTCACAGCTGCAGCTCCTCCCCAATCCCCCAACTCCACCTGCCTGCGTGTCTGGAACACAGGCATGCCCATGCACACAYGCTCACGCTGAAGCATGGATCGACAGCCTGGTCCAAGCACCTTGGAATAAGGACCTGAAGACAGAGAGATAGAACTTGGTGCTGAGAATAAGGCATCTGCCCCCACAGGGGCCTTTCCTGCTGCTCCATCCAAGGATGGCCACAGCCAGGACAGAAACATCCGGTCCCTTGACAAAGACTGACCATCCCGGGCTGCCCTGTGAAACATGGGCCAGATGCTCAGGGACCAGGCACTCTGGAAGACAATCTCTTGGCCATCATTTACCATTGAGCGTGCATGTCTGTGCGTTTTCTAGGTGCCAGGCCCTGATGAAGCTCTGGGAGCGTTCGCAGCAGTGAGCAGGACAAGCGAACAGGGACGCAGGTCCCTGATCCCAATTCCCTTCTCCACCACCTCATTAACCTCCCTAGGGGGGTTCCAGCAGYCGATGCTCCACCACTCAGTGGCAGAAGCCTGTGCAAGCGGTGTGACTTTTCAGAGTCCAGCTTGCCTGCCTGTAAAAGGGCTCTTACTAACATGCCACACTGCTGCCCAGGTCACTGAGGGTCAGTGGTTGCCAGATGTCACCAGTGTTCAGAAAGGTCTTTTCTCCTTTTGTTCCTCTCTCTCCACTCCCTCTGGTCCAGCTGCTTCCCAAACAGACAGGCAGAGTTCTCTCTACTTGGTCCACCTGAAGTGCTCCTCCTAGAAGCTTCAGATCTGCGACCCACTGCCAGCCTCTCCTCTCCTGCCATCTCCCKGAAGCTCCTCCTCCTTGTTTTACTACAGATCTGTCATTCAACTGCCACTTATGACTGTAGTCTTTGGCTTGTTGCAGGGCTGCTCAGTCTCCTCATCTTGAAGATGGYAATGATATTGGAACCCCCTTCTTAGGGAAGGTGTTAAGTGGGTCAGAAGAGAGCCTGGCACTTGCTGGGTGCCCATGTGTGTCAGTGGCCAGGGCTGGATGGTGGCAGGGGTCTTCCTGTGGGAGGGCAGCTACGCTGTGCTCCCTGCTCTTTGCTCTGGGCTCTGAGCCTGCTGCAGAAGAGGTGCTCAGCAGGTGCTAGGGACCAGGTGGAGGCTGAGGAAGGGCTTGTGGCCAAGGGGATGGTGTTGCCCAGTGAAATGGGGCCGGCATGGTTTTCTGCAGCTTGWGCTGAATGAGATCCATTGATGGGACAGAGTCCCTTCAGAAAAAGCTCTCCGTCTCCATCACCTCTTCCCTCTAAGTTCATTCTCTGTGTCTCGTCCTATGGGCCAGTTCCCTGAGCCGTCAGCACCAGCTGTGCTGGGCTATTATCTGGGCCCTACACTCCTTCGATCCCAGTCCTGGTCACCTTAGAGGACATGGTCTCCTCCCTCTCGTCGGCACCCATCAGAATGGGAGCTCCTGGTATGAGGGCCCCTGCAGAGGTGGAGGAGGGCACATGGGAGCCACCTCCCTGCCTCAGCTGCTTCTCTGGAGCCCCCTGCCCCTGGGTGGCCTGCCCAGCCTGCTGCCTCCCCCTCCTGGCACCTGACAGCTCATGCTGCTGCCTGGCCATGCCTGGGGAGGGAGAAGGGGCAGCGGAGCACACACAGGGCAGGGCCTCACGAGGACATTCTCTGGGTACAGCCAGGCAGCCAGGAGCCGGCCCAGGATGCAGAGGCTCGGAGTAAAACACCACGCAAGGTCACATAGGACAGAATGGCTGGTCCAAGCCCAGGCCTCCCTAACTCAGAGCCCAAGGCCCTTTAGCCACACAGCTGCCAGGCCGGGGTGGAGACGTGTCCCGCAGAGCCACCCACACCCGCATTCCCCACAGCCTGCCCTTGTGTTTACCTTTCTTCTCCTCCCACCTGGCACCCTGCTCTTCCTCCTCTGGCGGTGMCACTCTGGCGGCTTCCTGCCTGATCCGGGAGGGCCAAGGTAGCTCCTGTTGTGTGTCAGGGGAGCAGAGCTCAGTTCCCTGGGATCCATGTTTGGTTTCCTTACTATGGGCCCTGGTGGCCCAGCTGACGGCTCGGCCAGGCCCCTGGACTCTGCCAGGGCATTTCCGTGAATGAGGAGGCAGAGTCCACTGGAAGGCCTGGAGCGCCCAACARGAAATGGGGCAATTGGGTCATGCCTGGACAGGAAGTGGGCAACATTTTCTTCCTTGTTTCTAAGTCATTACAGCAACGAGAAAATCCTAAAAAGGAAATCTGTCCTCTGGGGACTTTCACCCAGGGTATGGATTTTTTTCTTTGTCATCATTTTATTTCTCTCTCTTTAGTAAGTCCAACATTCCAGAGGCGGGGAGACTGGCTTGAACCCAGCACACCTTTCTAATCTCTGGGGCAGGGAGCAGTCTAATAACTGGCTCAAGTGTTGCTCAGGTCCTGACTCCTCCACTTCAGGCGAGTCACATTACTTCTCTGAGCTGCCATTACCAGTGCAAGACGGGCTGTTGGTCTCACTCCAGCTGCCTGCAGAGGTACTCCAGGGCTGAAACAGAAACCACACGGCCCACCCTACCCCTAGCAGCATGCTGGAGATGGACGTGGGCAGCCCTGCAGCCCAAGAACAAAGAGCTGCCATGACTCTGTCCTGCTTACTCAGCCCCAGGCCGAGCGGGCCCCTCCTTGCACCACCCTGGCTGACTCAGTAAAAGGAGCCAGGAGGCTGGGACCTGGTGCCCAGCACGACATAGTGAGGATGAATTCCCCACATGGCTGATTCACCCCAAATGTCAGAGAAGGACCTTCATGATGGCGAGGACAGGTGGCCTCTACTCTTTGTTCCCTGGAAGCAGATGGCAGACACAGAGGCTGGGAAGGGACAGAGGCATGCTTGGTGAATTCAGAGTGCTCGGGCCACAGATAAGGGGCAGAAGCCAGCAAACTGGGTTTAATGCAAAGCACACATTGAAGAAAAAAAATGGGGAGAACTGCAGGCGTCCTGGGGGCCATAATGGCACGTGGGTRAGAAAGCTTTCAGCCCCCACTGCCCTACAGCAGGACAGCAGCTGCTCTGAGCAAATGGGAAACAGACTTCCTCAGTTAGGCTGGGACACGGAGCAGTGCAACCTGGCCGCTCTGTGCACTGGTCAGGGGGGCGCCTCTGCGAGAGCAGGCTATTTCTTGACTTGGTTTCCAGCCACCTGGCTGCCTTACTCACTGCAAGGCGGGTCCAGAGCAGGAGCCCAGTGAGAAGCACTGGGTTACCACATGCCTGCAAGGGCCGAGAATTCCCTGGGACAGTGCYGGGGAGGCACCTCGCCAATCTCAGCTGGATCCGGGAGTCTTTCTGGGAGAGGTGACTCCTGAGCACACTTGGGATGGGCGAGCCTGGGGAGGTATTTGAGTGGGGAAGGGCACGGGTGGAGGCTGCCRGCTTGGATGCCTGTTGTATGAGCAGCTCCATAGTTCCCGCGGCAGGTGCAAACTCCAACGGTGCCAGGAACCAGGCTGTCAACACAGTGGGCCCCAGAGCTGGGCGTCAAGCCTGAGGGAGGACATGGAGCCCCACTAGGAACCAGAGGCAGCAACCAGGGCTCCCCACAACCTGCACCTCCCCCTCGACCCGTGCACCTACACTTTTCTCCCAAGTGCATTCACACTTCCCCCTGTGGCCCRGGGGAGCTGCTAGTCCTGTGTAAGCAAGAAGAACTAAAGTCCAGAGAGGGCGTGAAGCTGCCAGCCCTCCAGATCCCCAGCAGTGTCTGTCCYGTGTGGCCTGTGGCCCTGTACTCTGCGGTAGATCCTACAGAAGCTCAACTCCTGGCACAGGTGTGGTTTGAAGCAGATCCCAGGTGTTCTAGGGGTGGGGCAGGTGTAGAACCCATGTTCCGCAGTGTTCTGGGTCTGGACTCAGCCTGCTCTGCACCGAGTGCTTCCTCACACACCATTTCCCAGCACTGGCTAAGTACCCACGCCATCAGCTACCCTGCCCCGGCTCGGGCCCTTCAGACTATTAACCGTTCTCACCCTTCAATGCTCAGCTCCCTCCCCACCTGCTCCGGGATGCCTCCCTGGACCTCCCTCTGCCACTTCTCTGGGCCATGTGCTGCCACTTGAGTATGCCTTCCCCTCTGGACAGGAGCTCTCCAGGGACTGTGTGTATCGCACAGGTTGGACCATGAGTCCCCCCCAAATTCACATGTTGAAGTCCTGATCTCTGAAATTGTATCCCAGAATGTGACAGTATTTGGAGACAGGGTCTTTAAAGAGRTAGTAAGTCAAAATGAAGTCTTTTGGTGGCCCTAATCCAATCTGAYGGGTGTCCATATAAGAAGAGATTAGTGTACACACAAACACACACAGGGRGACCATGTGAGGACATAGGAGAAGACACCATCTACAAGGCAGGGAGAGAGGCCGCAGAAGGAATCAATCCGTCAACACCTTGRTCTTGGWCTTCCAGCCTTGAGAGYGGTGAGACCATAGGTTCTACTGTTGAAGCCAGCCTGTCTCAGGGGCTTTCCACGGCAGCCTGAGCAAACGCACATCGGCCTCAGCCTCTGGTCCCTAGATACACATTTGCTATTGAGCTCAAATCATCTAGAGGGCAGTTCTAAGGCTAGAAGTTTGACATAGAAATAACTTCTAAGGCTAGAAGCTTGGCGTAGAGATGGCRACAGTTCTCTAGCAGGGAAGTGTTGAGGGAAAGAGGAGCTTTTTATTGAGTGTCATTTAACCAGAATGCATGAAATGACTACCTCCCTTCCCCATTCCACCAAACACCTAGGCACTGGATGCTCGGCTCACCTAAGATAAGCACCAAAAGATACAGTGTCCACTTAGAGGGAATCACATCTATTTAACACAATTCTCCCATGTCCTTGGGTGACCCAAGGCAGGTGGTGTCATTACACACTGTATGGGGCCCATAATGTCCAGCCTGCCAATTCCACACTAGCCTGGCCATTTGGCAAGTAGAGTTGTGTTGATCTTTGTCCTGCCAAATAGAGGCTTATTATGAATATGGGCATCTTTTCTTGCAATTTGTGGTTACRTCCACACCTTTGGGAGGCGACAAGGCACAGATGGGTTGAAGTTTGAGACTGGCTCCATTTGAGAGAGCAGGGAATGGGTTCCATGTCTCTTGTAAGGACAATGACATATCACTGTCAGCATCAATGTTCCCTCATTGAGAAATGACCTTAAGAATGCCCCAAGTCCAGAAAGCCACCAGCAGATCAGTACCGTGGAGGCTCCCGACTTTCGAGCCTGGCCACAGACTCGCTCTCGTTCCCCCAGCTCCGCCCACGGGGCTCTGCTCCCAGCCCCTGCTAGCTCCTCTCTCTGCTGGCCTCACCTTGACCCTGGAGGACRGAGGGCGAGGGGGACAGGAGGGACTGCCCAGGCCACCAGAATGCCCATGCAAGGGGARGGCAAGAAGCCAGCACTGACCGCTTTCTTTCTTGTCGACTTGTTTTCCTTGTTCTCTGCTGCATCCTTTTCTCTGAGCTCCATGATTTATTCTTCAGAGTTTGGACTTGTTGATGTTGTTGTTGCTGAGAAAGAGGAAAAGGGAYGGAGCCATTAGACACTTGCTGCCACAGATGGCAGGTCACAGCAGGTGGTTCCAAATGGCCTCCAAAAGGTTCGTTCCAGTGTAAAGGACACCAGTGTAAGACACTGCARTGTCCTCACTCAGGCCCTGGGACCTGGCACCTGCCTGCTCTGGCCCATTTACAAGATGGGGGCTGGGCTGAGCTGCGGTGCATCCCGCTCCTGCCCTAGGGCTTACTAGACCCAGGCTGCTCCCACACCATTCTCTTCAGAAGGAGCACATTTCAGAAATGCTAGACTGTCTGTCTCCAAGAGGTGAAAATGAAATCAGTGGAAATGAAAACCCAGTGCTGATCTCGCAGCCTGTCAAGTGGAAAAGATCACCAACATCCTCACCCTGATCGCTGCTGAGACGGAAGTAGAAACTGCGCGGCTTTTCTGGAGTTTGGAAATGTGTTTCTATTGCCCTTTGGCCCAATAACTTTGTTCGACAAGATTTATCCTAAAGCAGGACTAAAAGTGTGCACAAAGATGGAAGTCCAAAATATTCAGTGCAGCATGTGTGTGATAAAAATGGTATTTAAAAAAAGAAAAATAAAAAATGTCTAGCAGAAAAGTTTAACTACATGATGGCACATTCACACGATGGAAATTCATGTAGTCCTTTAAAATTATGTTCTACAAGAACATTGGATGCCACGGAGAGATGCTCAGAATACATTCTTGGTTGACAAATAAGGGAAGATATATAAATGAACATACTTATAAAAATATACATACAGAGGTTTACACAATGAAACATTAGATGTGCTTAAATTCTGCATGTTTTCTTACTTCRATTTAAAATGTAATATTTATGCATTACTTATTCAACAGATATTAAGTCCCTAGGGAAGGCTATGGGGATAATCCTGAGCCAGGGTGCSCTCCCTGTCCTCCTGGAGCTGGTGTCAGGAGGAGAGAAATAGCAGAAGAGCATTCAGAGAGCGTGTTGACATATGGAAGGTGAGTGGTGGCCCAGCATGGGGAGGGCAGGGGGAGGACAGCAGAGATGCTCAGGGGACAGACACATATTTATGGGCATAGAAAATAGGTCAGAAACAGCTGGAAATGACCTGCAGTTACCCCTTGGCTGAGGTATTGTGGCCAATTTATATCTTATTGTTTTCTCCTAGTTTTCCACACATTGTGACTTTCCCCTGGAATTGTGCAACATGGTGGCCCTAATAAAATACTGCTGTAACTAGATAAGATTTTGAAATTGCTTTAAATTAAAAAGAAAAAAGTTTTCTTATCGGAATTAAGCCCTAACAGTCTCAAGTAGCCAAGTAGAGTTAAAATTTAAATAATAATAATAATAATAATAATAATCAACTCTGAATACTCTTCTTTCTAATGCAGAAAATACAACCCTGGAAGGACACACCGTTCCTATGGGTTGATAGACTCAGCTTGATTGGATCTAGAAGCCATTTCTGCCACCTGACAAGGATGCAGGTTGGTGAGCTGCCTGAGCCCCACTTTAGTGTCGCTGCAGGCCCTGCCTCGAGGGGCTGACACACCTGTCCCACCCCAGCCCACCTGGAGGGCCACTCCAGCCCTGTGCCTGCTTTCCTGACATCTGCAGGCCTCTGGGCCACAGCTKAGGCTGCTGGGCTTGGAGGGCCCTTCCCTTTCCCCTGCCTCCCCTGCCAGGCTCACCTCCTCCGATCATCTATGGGTTTCTTCTGGAAACAGAATGCTCTTCTCCAAGTGCATCCCAGAGCTCATAGCCAGTGGATTGCATGGGCTAAGGGTGTCTGAGATCTCATCGGGGACGGTCCCTACCTGTGAGGCTCATTTTACCCATGAGCTTGCCTAGGCCATGYTGCTGTCATTTAGCAGATGTCTAGAGAACAGTCTAGATGTGTCGTGAAGGTGTCTTTTAGATAGGGTTAGCACRTGCAGTGAGCTGTAAAGCAGATGACCCTCCATGATGTGGAAGGCCTCATCCACTAAGCTAAAGACCTCGAGAGAAGCAGCTGACGTCCCTTATGAAAAAGGAATTCAGCCTCAAACTGTAAWAGAGGTCTTTTGGAATAAGAGTACAACCTCAGCATTGCTGGAATTTCTAGTCTGCTGGCTCGCCTGTGGCTTTGGGGCTTGTCAGCCCTACCATTGCTTGAGCCTATTCCAGGGGAAACAGGGGACAGAGACAAAGACAAGAGGACATGCTTCTGCTTCCCCGCAGAACCCTGAGTTACCCCCTCCCCTACTTCTCACACTTGAGGGCTTCAGTGATCCATCTCCCATCCACAGTAGGACTGAATGCTGGCTGTAGAGATGCACGGTAGGCAGAAGAGGTGGGGTGGGGAGGAGGAGAGGGAAAGGAGAAAATGGGCAGAGGGAGCTAAGTGATGGTTTCTGTGGCTACCACCCTGCCTGCCTCCTGGGGATTGTTCCCAGTCTAGTTCATGTGAATGGCTGCCACGGTGCCACCCCAGGGACCACCATTCACACAGATGACATTGTGACTTTCCCCTGGAATTGTGCAACATGGTGGCCCTACATGTGCCTAAGGMTGAAGACGGTCTCTTAGGGATGAAGTGGAAGCCAGGATTTGAAAAGACATGAGAAGAGGGAAAAGAGCGAGGCCATTACAGAGACCTGGATCTCCATCTGGCTTTGCTGCTGTGACCGAGGGCAAGTTACTAACTCACGTGTCTGCTTCCTTGTCCGTCAGTCATAGTCAGCTGCCACTCTCTCATACTGTGATTTTTAGATGAGGAATCCTGAACTCAGGGGGCCCTGGGAAAGGCCTGCCAAATCCTTGGTCTCTAATGAATGGCAATTGCCATTCAAGGGGCTACTGAAGACTCAGARAGTGACATATTTGTGGGTAGGAGGAAAGAAGGGTTGTTTAGAAGTACTGATCTTCAGTTTGTGGAACATCTACGTATCAATGTCACCTGGGAACTTGGAAATAAGAGTAGTGCTCAAGCAATAGTCTGGGCTGGACATGAGTTAAGTGGGAATGAGTGACAGAGGACTGGGTAAGGCCACCCAGGGAAGGAGTGTAGAAAGAGGAGATCCCTAAGGAACCCAGCCTGGGGGGAAGACAAGGAACGGTAAGTGACAAAGGACACTGAGTTGGAAAAAACAAGCAGAGCCAAGTGTGGAGAAGACAAGAACTTTAAGAGGATGTGAAGGGTCATCTGTGTCGACATTGATTGAGGGCAGTCAAGAAAGAGGAATGAAGAGTGTCCAGGGTATTTGATCACACCGAGRCCACTGGTAACTGTTTCAAGGGTGACTTGGATGGAGTGGCCCTGGAGGGATGGAGCACTGGAAGAGGAGCCCGTATGCAGACAGGTCTTCATAGAGCTTCAGCCATGAGGAGGTGAGGGTGGTGCAGGGGGAGRCGTGGGGGGGGAAGGACGGAACATGGGTAAGTGTGGTGAAGACTTCAGATCCAGAAGTGGGAAAACAGGAGCTCTGTGCAAATTTCCTGTATTCTAGCATCTTCTCTATCCTGTCTAACACCATCTATAGTCCAATGGCGTCCACATGAAGTGTGAGGTAAAGTGACCGACTAAAGGGGAGAGAGGAGGGCGACCGGGCAGCGGTAGGAAGGTGAGGAGCAGTCATAAGGGAATCCAGGGGACAGCCCTAACACCCAGGTCCGGTTGGCCATGGGCTGGTGTTGCGGGACCCCTCRTGGAAAACATGGTGGGTGTTCAGAGCGTCCCCCGGACTTCTTGAGTTTACCCATGGAGAGAAAAACACAATTCCAGCTGTRACCAGAGTGTGGCTTTTGTTGGGCTCCACCACAACCATCCAACATGGAGCCACCTAGAAATCAAGGTCAGAGCAGGTGTGGTCACAGGTGTGCGAGGAAGGAATGAGTACAGGGAGGGACSGGGTGGGGGGGAGAAAAGCTACGGAGTGGGCGGTAGTAAATTACGGTGTGTAAAATATTGCCCTGTGACAAACAAGGATCCAGAACGTGGGCCTGGGGTGCACGGGACTGTGAGCTCAGCAGTCCCCACGCAGTCAAGGGAGACGAGGAGCGCTCCAGCTCGGGTGCCGAGCCTGTCATTCTTCCCAGGAAACACGCTGCAAACTGGGACGGTGGGGCACCAGGGGACGTGGGTGGGGCCCATGCTTCTTTCTCTTTCAGGATCAACTCTGGTCTTCTCCTCACCCACCACCAGTAAGGAAGARGAAGAGGACGGCTAAGTCAACAAGGCCCCACGCCAGGGAGCTGCTCCCAGCACAGCCCTCGACTGTGGACTCATCCTGCMGAGACCATGGCAGGGTCCAGGATGCCCGTCATCCCTAAGCCCTCTCATGACCGGCGGGAGACTGTCTGCTGGGGCACTTCGAGACCTCCTGCGGGCAGCGTGTGCCCAGTGGGACTCTGGGTTCACACCCCAGTTCTACAGCTAGTAAACCGCCTGGAGACCCTGAGCTCTTCTGCACTCCCTTTCTTCCTATTTCAAATGGGGATAATAATAGGATGAACCCCAGGGGCTGCTGTGAGGGTGAAGTGAGTTCATTATTGATGCACACTGCAGATGTCAGGTGCCCTGGAGCCATCGTGATCACCTCCGGAAGCACAGTGGATGGCCTTCCCAGACCACAGGTGTAGCGCTTCCGGATTGACTCAATGATGACATCTCAGGATGGTTAAGACGGCTCACCCATCTGAGCCCACGCAGTGTTTAAATAGAGAACCCTAAGCTCCCTCAAAATAATTATYTAAGGCTTAAACAGAGTAAATAAAATAAAATACAAAAGATAAATCAGCAAGAGCTCCGTGCATGGTGAAGAGTCCCAAAACGTCAGCTCCCTGTCTCCCCAACCCGCAGAAACGACACTGATAACTCTGCTCTTCAAGACTAGAGGCCTGCCGGTGCCCATCAGTGTGGCCACACAAGTTCTTTAGAGCAAAGTTCTGCTGTGCCCATGGTTGAATAGCCCCCTGCCCCATCCCCTGAGTGCCTACCTGCCACCTCAGCAG